TCTGAAGCCCATCTAACCTAAACTATTCCATTATCATCCATATGTTTATCCAATGACCATTTAAATGCCCTTAAAGTGGGCGAGTCTACTATTTTTGCAGGCAGGGCATTCCACGCCCTTACTACTCTCTGAGTAAAGAACCTACCTCTGACATCTGTCCTATATCTATCACCCCTCAACTTAAAGCTACATCCCCTCGTGCTAGCCATCACCATCCGAGGAAAAAGGCTCCCACTGTCCACCCTATCTAATCCTCTGATCATCTTGTATGTCTCTATCAATTCACCTCTTAACCTTCTTCTCTCTAACGCTTCCTACAATGTCCTGGGATAAACTTGATCAGGTCCAAGGGATTTATCTACCTTTATGCATTTTAAGATGTCAAGCACCTCCTTTTCTGTAATGTGGACTCTTTTGAAGACATCAGTATTTATTTCTCCACATTCCCTAGCTTCCACGTGCTTTTCTATTGTAAATACTGACACAAAATATTTGTTTAGGGTCTCACCCATCCTCTGTGGTTCCATACATAGATGGCTTTGCTGATGTTTAAGGGGTCCTCTTCTTAATATACCTGTAGAATCTCTTTGGACTCTCAACAGTTTCACACCATAATCTCTGCCCCAACGTTATTTTGTTTCACTCTGCAAGTTTTGGTTTTCCTATTGTTTGTCTCTTGATTTCCCTTCCGTGCAGCAGCTGCCCATCATTCTGCCATTCGCACCTTCTCTAGACACAGTTTTTGTCTCCTCATGTGTCTCATTCTTGTTCCCTCTGACCTTGCACCACCATCTCCTTTGTCACTTCATCTGTCCTTACTTTGTTCTATTACAGACCTTCCCTTCTGGTTGCTTTCAACTCCCCCTTTCAGTGGTTTAAAATGTATTAGATATTGAGAGATTCTCAGTTCTGTTGAAATATTGGGTGGAACTCAATGGTTGTAGTGAGGGGAGGGGGGCATTCACTAACTGGAAAACTGGTGCTACACTCTACACAGCCATTTTGGGAGACCTGATGGAATTTAATCTCAATCAGACAGCGATATGAAATTCCTTCCATGGAAATCCAGTTGCGATATCATAGGGGAGGGGTGCCCCAGAACCGAAAGTGGTGGTTAGCCTACACCAGAGATTACAGGTCGAGCCCAAAGAAAAAGATGATTGGAGGGATTCACCAGGGCCAGACAGGGAGGCCTTCTGTGAGGTGGGGAGGAGGTCTTAAATTGGATTTCTCTTGCTGCCATGGGGAACAGAGTGCAAAGAATGCCTACCGGAACAAAGAATTGGAGGAGGCCTTTGAGGTAGATTGTATGGATTTGAAAGGAAAAACAATGATCTGAGATTTTCATGGAAAAAGTGAAGCTATCTTTTTCAATCAGCTTGGTGTGTATTCCCAGCATCCAAAGTTTATTTTTTTCCATTCCGACTCAGAAGTCTCACATGTTCTCACGAGGGACTTATTCTGACACAGTGAAAAGTATTGTTTTGTGTGTTACACAGGCAGATTATGCCTTACATAAGTACATCAGGGTAATAGAACAGAATGCAGAATACAGTGTTACAGCTACAGAGGAGGTGCAGAGAAAGAGAGATCAATATTTACGTTTAAATTGGCAGTTTAAAAGTCTGCTCCGAGCAAGGATGAAGCTGTTCTTGAGTCTGTTTTTGGTACATTTTCACATTTTTATATCTTCTGCCTGATGAAAGAGGGTGGAAGAGAGTATATCCGGGGTGGGAGGGGTCTTTGATGTTGGCTGCTTTCCCGAGGCAATGGGAAGTGTAGACGGAGTCAGTGGATGGGAGAGCTGCTTTATCTGATGGACTGGGCTGTGTTCATGACTCTCTGTAGTTTCTTGGGGTCTTGGGCAGAGCAGTTGCCTTCCAAGTCGGTGATGCTTCTGTCTGGTAACCATTCTGAGGAAGGGTCACTGGACCCGAAACGCTAACTCTCATTTCTCTTCACAGATGCTGCCAGACCTGCTGAGCTTTACCAGCAACTTCTGTTTTTGTTTCTGAATTACAGCATATGCAGTTCTTTTGGTTTTTGTCAAAGTTTCCTTGCTTGGATCTACCTTCTGTCAAGAAACGTGTGTCTACTGATGTGCAACAGCATTCCTACATTAAAAAATGTCCCACACAAGGTGTCCACCTCGAGAAATTCAACTTGCTCCTCACACAAAAGGCACTCAGTGAGAGGTGACAGGGACAGGACTGTCAGGTCAGGAAGGCCCAAGCTTCAGACTGGCACATAGGCAGTGAAGTTGGACTCTGTTGATTCACTCTTGGAATACGAACAGGAGAGTGTTTGAGATAACACAGTGTGGAGCTGGAGGAACACAGCAGGTCAGGCATCATCAGAGGAGCAGGGAAGTTGACGTTTTGGGTCAAAGAAGGCTCCTGACCTGAAATATCAGCTTTGTGTGTGTCTGTGTGTGTGTGTCTGTGTGTGTGTGTGTGTGTGCGCGTGTGTGTGTGTGTGAGCGTGTGTGAGCATATAGAGTGGGGGTGAGGTCACCTGTCACGAGACATGACCATGAGATACTGTTGAGGCCATCCTTATGGGTACAGAACTTGGCCATCAGCCTCTGAAACACACACACACACACACACACACTCACACTCACACTCACACTCACACTCACACTCACACTCACACACATATACACACACTCACACATATACATATAACCACACACACTCACACTCACTCACACACATACACACACACA